CCATTTTCCTGAAGGACTTGGACTTGTGGGATTGAGCAGCATTTCTGTCTTCAGGTGTTTGTATTGGAGCATCCTCAACCAACAATAGTTTCTCACTTCAGACTGAGCCCGGCACCTACCCCAGCCATGCTGAGCTCTGTGGATGGTACCAGAAAGCAGGCCCTGCACATAAGCATCACCAGCACTGTGCAAGAGCTCCTTTTCAGGACCTGCTCCACAGCCCTCCTCTGTTTTCCAGGAAATCTGCCTGGAGCATTTCCCAGCCCAGCGCTGTCTGTCAGTTCTCCTTGACTAAAGATCAGCTCAGAGGGATCCTGCCAGTTCAAGTCATGCTGCAGAGTGGACTCTGGGCAAAACCACCCCTTCCTTAGGTAAGATACTTCCCATGCCCAGGCATGTTGTGACTTCCCCCGGATCCACCTCCCAGCATGGATGTTATCCTGCACTGTGTAATGTAAGTGAGTGATCAGGAACATTAACTGGGGAGAAGGTTATCACAGGCGGGTAAGCCCCAGAATGAAGAGGTGATTTCTGAGTCAGGATTTCCTTCCCCCTGAACACAGAAGCAGGACTGGATGCTTCCCTGTCCTTGTCATCAGTCTCCAGGCATCTGCTCTTGGCCACTGTCACAGCCATGATGTGAAGGATGGATTGGTGTGACCCAAATACAGCCCTTTCCTCTCCCTCCCTGCCTGTGCAGGGACTCCCCACCTTCCCCATGAACCATGGCATGGGCACAGCAGAGGATACGTGGTTCTAGATCTCATACTTCCTGACCCAAGCTCTTCACTCCCTGTTTGGGAAATGGAAACATGAATGATCTGAGCCACTGCAGACACATTAGTCCAGCCCCTCGAGTATGCAAGGCTTTAGAACAAGGTTGGAGGGAGTCATTAAAACCACAGAGCTAGTTAGAAGATGACATGAAGCGCAGTAAAGGAGATGTCAGGCTCATCTCACGTTAGGTGCTGGACAGAGGGGATGCTGTAGGTCTCTCCCTGCTCCGGTAAGGTACCTGATACAGTGCCTGGTGGGAAATTATTCATGAGGACAGGGATTAATGGGAGAGTGGAAAGTGCACGAGGAGCTTGCTGAAGAGGAGCTGACAGCTTGGTGTGCTGTGTGCCGTGGTGCCTGGCTTACAGGAGATCAGTCCTGAGGACAACAGAGTAACTTGGTTCCTGACCTCAGCTCAGTGCGTGAGTGACAGCACGGGGAAGCACCATCAGTGTAGAGAAGGGAGAATGGATGCCTCTGATTGATGGAATCACTGGAGGGATTCATCTGCAATACTCCTTACTCTTCTGCTGTTTTCCTGAAGGCAAACAGACAAACAGAGGGAGGGCAGGAAAGGACTCTGCTGCTGCTGTAGGGAGTGGAGTATCTGTTTGATGAGAGGAAGCACAGAGAACGGGTTCCTTGGCCTGTTACAAAGGGGGTTAAGAACATGTCAGGAAAGGAGAAGAGCTCTTCAGGTTAAAGGACTGTCTTTGCAGTGGAAAACTCAGTAGAAACTAGGCAGTGATACATCTGAGCTCAAATGTAGATGTAAAGGAGGCTCAGGAATTAGGGAGGAAAGCAGCCTATGCAGTTTTGAGACAGAGGCTGATACATCAATGTAATAGATGATCGTAAAACCTGCTTGCCTTCAACAGCAGGCAACTGGCGTGATCCAGGACATCCTTTCCAAGGAGTGGGTGTAAGTGATCCCTTTATGGTCCCTGTGCCTCCCTGGGGCAGTGTCAGCGGGGATCAAGCAGTTCAGTGTTGCTATATGATGCTCCAGCGACAGCTCTCCAGCCACTCATCCTGCTCTGCAGCATGACTCGCCACGGGGCACCTTGTACAGCCAGCCAAGATGCTCCTTCCAGCCACGTAGAAGAGAACACGTCCTCCCAGCATGTCCCCAGCAAGAGCCCCCAGCAGGGCCCATCCACCCTGCAGCAGCCTCGCATGTGTCAGGCTCAGGCCTATGAATAAATCCTCTTCCCAAGAACCTCAGTTTTCCACTGGCTGAACCGAAATCTCTGATGGATGTCACCGGTTCGTATGTTCAGCAAGCTCTACCAGAACAGAGTAGGGAACAGGAAGCAGATCAAGGCTGAAGGACACCCATAAGGGAAGGAAACAAAGCAAGGAGGAAGCTCATGTCTCCAACCCCAGCTTTCTCCTCCTCCTTTTACTTGAGTTTCTGGTCCTGCAGAGGAATTTATACTGGGGCTCCCGTGGTCTGGCTTCTTCTTAGGAAAAGCAAACTTGCCATATCCCAGTGGGCTCTTGGTGTGGTGCAAAACAGAACTCAGTAAAGCTTTTGATGTCGGGGAAAGTTGGGGAGCTCAGCAGCCCTGTTTGCACAGCTTTGAAGTGTGGCTTTTGCCAAGGCGAGTGGGCAGAAGATGCTGCTGGTGGGAGAGAGGAGCTGAGCCTGGTGTGTGAGCAGGGGCCCGATGGGTTGGGACTGATTGGGGTGGTAAGGGGTCTCAGTGTTGTGTGTTGTCCTCATTGGCACCCAGAGTGGGGGGAGCAGGGAGAAGAGGCTGGGAGGGTAGTAGGGACTTGGGAGAGAGCCGGGGATTGTCCTGGGTATGGGAAGGTGCCTTTGCCCATATTCTCCATCCCCAGTATGGTCATGAGCTGCTTTCCAGACCCTCCTGGTGTCATTCCTGATTCGGAGCGACATAGGCTGAAGTGAGGGTCATGCACACATGGAGTGCAGGGATGCAGAAGGGTGGTCCTGTTGGAGTGTGGTTCATGATTAGGGATACAGCTAGAGATCCCACAGCAAACGGTGAGAGAGGAAGAACAAGCAGAAGGGAAGGGCAAGCGCACTCCCAGGTTCCAGCCTGGTTTGTGGTCTCCCACTTGGCTTTGGGTCCCCTCTCTCATGTCATGGAGAGAAACCACCATCTGGTTTTCATTCTGCTGAGGGTCCCTCCCCTGCCGGGGCTGCTCAGGACTCGCTGGCCTGTGGGACCTCGTGTCATGTCCCCCCCAACCCCAATCAATAGGGAGTAACCGCTCTGCGACTGCGTGTATGGGGACTGCTTGCAAGGAGAGCTTAGGGGGTCTGCACGCATCCTAAGCCATCACTGCTAGGAGCCACTGTGAGATCAGGCTGCATGGAATGCACTGTCAGCTGATCCTTCCAGCCCTGGGAAAGCCAAAGTAGACTAGGAAATCCTAATAAAGCCATTTACATGCAGGTAAGCAGCCACGATGAGGAAGGGAACAAACCAGAGGAGATGAACACCACAGCAGCTCCCATTTGGCTCAGTTTCCCACAGTTGAACGTGGCAGCACCTCTTCATGTTTTCCAGCTCCCAAGTGTGTCACTCAGTGTTTGACATCCCTATGGATCACTCAGGTACGTAAAATGCTGCCTAGGAGCGGGCCCAGGGAGGGAGCTGCAGCCCAGAGCTGAGCTGGGTTTAGTTGTTCTGGGTCTTGAATCGTGTCCTTGGTAAGAAGCAAAGCTTCATCTGCCTCCTAAGTGTGCATTGAAGGGAGTGATGGCTTTCTGCTGGGTATTGATGCTCATGGTGGTATTCCCTCCACAGCTCTATCCATCACGCTGTCTGTCAGATACCTGCAGGGGAGGGAGAGATGCAGGCACAGATCCGGCTGGTGGAGAAAGCTCCAGAGGAGAGACCAGCATCGAGGGCTGCAAGGGGAAGGCCTTGCAGCCACAGGTGGGTACCCACAGTCTCCTTTGAAGCTGCTCCACTTAGTCTGAACAACTCAATTTTCACTAGAGTTGGGATTTGAACCCAAATACAATGCAGAGCTGGGGAGCTTTTCCTCACCACTGCTCTGTTTGATCCGTGTTGTTTATGTCTCTATATGTCTCCTGCAGGAAAGCCTGAGGCAGGGAAGGGACCCCGAGAGCCCATCAGCCTCCCTTCTTCCTCCATTGCACAACTTCTCTCAAGAAGATGATGTTGCTAAATGCACTTGGAGCTCAGCCTTTCCGGGAAGGTCCTGCTCAGGCTGAGGCAGAGCAGCCAGTTCGCACTGTGTTTGTATCCCCGTGGTTTCGGATTGATCGCTAAAGAGCTGCTTTTCTGCCAGTTTTGGGGTTCTTTCCAGGATGCTGCCTCCCATCCCCCTGCTGTAGCTTTCATAACCTGGAGATAGGAGGAGGTAAAACCACTCCGAGCTCTGGCACTGGAGCAAGGACACAGTGGGGAAGGTGCCACTCATGGCCGCAGCCCTGGCACCGCAGCTAGATGCTGCTGTCCAAAAGTGTTTGTATGGTGTGACTGTAACACAAGTGGGGCTGCAGGGTCAAATCCAGCCTTTTGCTTGATGTAAATGGCAGTGCTTGATGATGCCTTCTTCCTCATGTGGACCTCATGAAGGCTGTGTGCTGCTGATCCCAGAGGTAGGAGAAGGAAGCCACCCTTCCGTCCTAGCCGTGCTTTGTACCCCCAGCTCACAGAAGCAGTCTTTGACCTCAGCCCAGTCAGTGACAGGGGGACCAGTGACACCACTGCAAAGCTGCAACGAGGGTGGCCATCATCACCACCATGATGATGACCATGAGGGTCACCAAGGTCCTGTGGAACCACCACAGGTTGACCCAACAGCAAACTTAGCACTGAGACCTCTTGCAAAATGGGGCAGGACAAAGGTCTGGATAAATCTAGACCTCACCTCATCTTTCAAATGGTTTTGCATTAAGAGATGAAGAATAGCTCTTGGTGACATGCTCCAAGGCACCCTCAGCCACCAGCAACACTAGAGGAGTGGCACAAGAAGGGCTGCAGAGGTAATATGGGGCAGGGAGCCCAATGGCTCTACCAGCTGTCAGTCAGGCAGATGATCCACCTTCCTTGCAATGGCTGCTGGGTGGGTGGCTGAGGATAAAAGCCTGGCCAGTGGCAAAGTGAGGTCTGTGGTTGTGGGGCTCTGCTCCTGTGGAGGAAAGGCTGGCAATGGCTTTTTTTGGTTGGGTTTAATTGGGTTTCTTTAGAGTGGCTGCTGTGGGGTGGCTGCTGCTGCTGCAGTGCTCCTGCTTGTGGGGAGAGCTGCACCTCGTGCCATAGGGAAGCCTTTACCCCATGGGTGACTTTAGTGTTTGCTCCTCCCAGAGCTGCTTCACTGAAAGAGCTGTGTGATGTTGTTCCTTGCAAGGAGCCCAGTGCTGGAGCCCATGGTGGTTGGCATGTGGATGGTGTATGGAGGATTTAGGAGGCACCCCAGGAGCCAGCTCTGTCCTACCAGGTAAGGAATGTGTCTGAACCAGCCTACGTTTGGGTGCTGCGTGGGGCAGGGGTAAAGGGTGGTCATGAGTTCAGTTGCCCCAAATACCTAATCCAGATCTGCTGAAGCTGGATGATGGATGGGCAGTGGGAAAGACCTGGTCTTGAGTCTGAGTCTCCTCTTCCTGGGTTTGCCTGGCTCTGCTCCCAAGGCATCGCTTCTGCTGGAGGGCTCATAAAAGGCACCGAGGCAGCCACCAAATCAGTTTTAATTGAGGAATTAATGCCAAGAAGCCAGTTGCAGCCCTGTGTCTCCTTCTGAAATCACCCAGGGGCAATGGCAGGTTCAGATTCTGTGAGGGACCAAAAGCTGTGGGCAAGAGGGGGAACTATCTGCATCTCTGGCACACGTGGCTGGTGGTGCCGGAGCTGCAGTCAGGGCTTGGGCAGCTGCTCAATATCTCCTCTGTGGTCTTGCCATGCAATAAAACCCTAAAGTGATGGTAGATCACAACAATATTATGCAAACTGCCATTTGCATAAGCATTATGCAAATTGAGATGGATAACCAGCTTTAACCAGGCTCAGGTTGCTTTCAAGTGCCTCTTTCTCAGCTGGTAATTCAATCACTTCAAGAACAAAGAACCCCAAACATCAAATTTGTTAACTTTCTTCTCTTGGCGAAGCACTTCCCTGGGGCAGGGAGGGAGCGGAGAGGCCATGTGCAGGCACTGCAGTACCCAAGCGGCCTGGTGGGGTCACTGGTGGCTTTCACATCCCAGGTGTCCCAGGAAGGGCTTACAGAGCTTTCGGCTTCAAACTGGAGGAGCCCAACGAATGATCTGCTCCATCCCAGCTTCCTTGAGACCTTTGGAAAGCCTTCTTCACCTGAAGGTACTTTGCTGGACTTTGAGGACAGCTCCATAGGAAGTGATGGGACATTCAGGTGATATATTGGAGCGGCTTAGCTACCTATTGCATCTGAGGGGTTGAGAGGTTTGTCTTGCTGGAAAAGGTATCTAAGGTATTAAATACAACTGCATGGGGGAGAGTGAATTGGACAGCTTGTTCGTGCTGCCCCTCCCTTCCTGATGTGGAGGGAGCATCAGTCCTGGAGCATCGCATCCCTCCTGCCATGGGGATGAGGGGGCTGGCCTGGGCTGTGTTCCTCCCCTCCAGGAGGGCTGGTGGGGGCAAGCAGAAGCGTTGCACACTTCCATCTCGAGTGGAACTCTTCTTTCCCCTCCTGCAGTGAAGTGCTTTCACTCACTTACCACTGTCTCTCTGGTTCTGCCTCCTGCCAGCCCTGCCTTGCCTTTTCCTGCTTGCCCATCTCTGATCCCTGCCTGGAATATCTTTTGGATGTGTGGCTGCTTTGCAGCTCTCTCAGCCTCTGTAACAAGAGATGAAGCATTAACCTTTAGGTGCGTCTTCCTTTGCTCTCAGCAAGGAAGCTCAGTGATGGTTGTCACAGACCAGCTCGTGTGTGCCCCATGTTCATGCTAGGCTGGGTCAGGAGCTTGAGTGGCTTCTTGGTGATCTGCAGGTTCCTGGTGGTGCAGCCATGGAAAACCTCAGCTCTTCTCCCTCTCCAGTCCTTGGATGATTCCTAACCAAGCAACTGCTGTGTGGTTAAGAGATATCGCTGAGCATCCCCACAGAGAAGAGGGATTAGGAAGAGCATAAGGTGACCCAGATCAAGTGGAGAAGCATCAGTACATTATGAGGGGACATGAAGACGTCAATAGATCTTGTTAGTGACATTGCCCAGGGCTTGGTGCAAACCTGCCTGACCCTTCCTGGATGTGCTTCAGCATCTCCCAACTCAGCTGACACAATGACTTGGGTTTCCTGCACCCACCTGCAAATTCCCTGTCCTGATGGCAGGGAAATGGGGGCCAAAATGGCTGTGGGGGTCCCCTTAGAGCAGGGCTGGAGCTATAGTGGTAGAGGAACTGGCCTGTGGCCCTCAGGATGGGGCTTGAACAAGTGCCATGGGCACACACCTCTGCAGAGCAGCAGTGGCAAGTAGATAGCCCGACAGTGATCTTTGTGGGTCCTGCACCTTATGGTCTTCCCTGCTGTAGGTCCTAGCTGCAGCCTGCCATGGCTCTGAACAGGCTGGTACCTCAGCCTGTCTTGCAGAGCTGTTAATCTCTGAGCTGGCTAAAGGGGGAGTTTATAGCGAGCAGTCCTATTGACATGCAGATATGAGCCCTTCTCAAGGTCTGGAGGCTGTTAGGAGAACCTCAATTTGCTTAACTGAGGACTGAGGCAATGCAGCATCTGTAGCTCCTCATGTCTGGCCATGAGAAGTGCTGATGAGTTGGCATTGCCTGAGTGTCTCCTATGGTTATCAGTGTGTTAAAAGGAAGCGCTAAAAGCCCTTGGCAGCAAAACTGGTGAGGGTTGAGACCTTGGTAGGTGTGTGGAGGCACAGCCGATGCGATGCTGACCTATGGGAATCCAGGGATCTAAGAAGCTGGAAAATGGGTGAGAGCCTGCTTAAATGCTATCAGGTTTTATTGCCAAAGAGGATAAGTTGCTGAACCATCTGTTTGTGAGCTTTAGGGAGATGATTCAAGAGCCGGGGGTAGAATGAGGGGCGACTCCAGGAACACTTTGTGTCTTGAAGAGCAAACCAGCCCTCAACCAACCCAAAACAATGGATGACTTCATAGCGCAGCGCCTGCGTGTACCACAGGCCAACCTGGGAGCAAACCTCATCCCCACTGACAGAGAACAGCGATTGCTGGCTGGGAAAAACAGGCAATGAAAAGAAAACCTGTGCTTGCCTGAAGTAGGAGCAAATGTAACTTGATTACAGCTCCTGCCTACTGTGTGGGTCTGCCAGGACGGCAGTGAGCAATGTGTTATATTCCAGGTGTTGTGAAACGGGGCTCTTGTTGCATCCTCAGTAGTGCACAGGTATAAGGAGAAAACAGACAAAAGTCTTGGCAAAGGCTAAAAGAAGGAATGAGTTGCCTAAAAATACAGGTAGCAGTTGGAAGAGATTGGAAACTAATGGACTATGAATGATCAGAAGGGTGAAAGGCAACGAGAAAGCACTTCAATAGAGCAGGGGATTTATTTCTGTGTCAAAAATGGGGCTGTTGTTAGAGACAGATGGTAAAATTGTAAATAGAGTGGAAAAGGAAGGAATGCTCCATAGATCTTCCAAATGCAGAAGGAAGGAGGCAGGAGGGTGTGTTTGCCACAGACAGTGCTGTGGTTGGCATATAAACCCCATAACAGAGGAGGCTGTGGTAGCCTGGAGAGCATCTGATGTTCATCAGCCTGTGTAGGGCATGCTACAGTACTTAGCCAGGCGGTCCCCCCAAATTGCTGCTTCTTCCACCCAGATCAAGAGCTGGGTGATTCCTGGGGGCTGGAGGGGTCCCAACACTACTGCAGCTCTTGGGCAAGAAATGAAGTCACCCTGAGGCAAAGTAACAGGGAAATCCATTCCAGATGTTACTGGGGAAAGAGGAAGCACTGGGAATATCTTGGTATGTCCGCATGGCTTGGTGAAGGGTAGGTCAAACTGAAGTGGGGTCTTTATGGCAGGTCTCAGGTGGAGGCATCTGCATAGCTACAGGCATTAAGATTAGGGTGTATTAAGATTTTCTCAAGACCTTTGGTTTAGCAGCCCATGGCCTCTTGTTTCCTTCAGGTGTATTGTGGAGAATTAGGAGGGCCTTTTTTTGCTGGGTGAGTCATTGAGGGGTTTCAAAATGTAGGTATTAATGGAGGGGTCAATGAATGCTTGTTTCCATTGGGATCTCCTATGGATTCTCTCTTGGTTCAGTATCATTTAATAACTTGGTGAGGAAAAGGTGAAGTTGCTGGTGTGCTGTGAGGGAGGCATGACAAGGGGAGCAAATACGGAGCAGAAAAGGCCCCAGTGGCAGTGATGGGATTAAATGATCCCACCATTCAGTCAGACAGGGCCACACAAAGCTGCCCTTGCAAGTTGCTGGAAACCAAGCAAAGCCACTTTGTTTCTATGTACATGCACAAGGTGAAAGATCATCCTTTGCAATGGTGAGTAATAAGATAACTGCCATGGGGGCTCCTCTCAACACCCAGCAAGCAAAGGGCTGCCTGAGTCCCAGCTGATCCCTTTACCAAAAGGTTGTTGCCCTGGTCTGAGCTGCAGGGGGGGGGTTCCAGGATAAGCCTGTCAGCTGGAATCACTGTTATCTGTCATAACGCCGTTATCATTGTGGCTAATGGCTCATCATCCAGTGCAGTACCAGGTCAAGTGAGTTGTTCCAAGAGCTGCTGAGAAGTCAGGCCTGTGAAAAGCAAGAGGTGAGAATGACGAGGGCTGGTTCTCCATTGTGCCATGTGTAAATGTGGGGTTGAAGGGGGATTTGGGTGGCTTCAGGGAGAAAGCTGGCCTAGGAGACAGCGCTGATGTGCCCATGAACTCAACTCCATCAGCATCCCTGTATGTGCCCAAGGCGATATAAGGATCTGGCGCCAGCTCGCTTTGGATAACATTTCCTACTGGAAGGTGACTAATCATTGAAACAGGCTGCTCCCATTCCCCTGGGATACAACGGGCCTGGTCCCCTGAGCTGCCCATCTCTCATCACAGCCGTGATTCGAAGGGGCTGAGGAGGGACGCGGTTACATGTATTATTCTGTAAGATGAAAATAGGTAAACAACACCCTGAGCCCCCTGCTCCCACACTGGCTGTGAATAATTTATCTTCAGACAATTAATTATTCAGCTTATTTCTTCATTAGTTGGAGAACCTGAATGCGATTAGCTGCTTACCTCCATGGAGAAAATCCCGCTTCTCTTACTCTGAAGCAAGGAAATAAAACACGAGCAGCTCCTCACTGCAAACAAAAACCCACCCTCTGGTGACCCTTTATACCAGGTTCCCTTCCCGAGTGGGGTATTCCCATAGTGCTGCTCACCCGTGGTGCATGAATTGGGTCAAGGCCCAGAGGCAGTCCCTAGAAGGCTGATCTAAGTCAATTGGGATGGGGTTGACAGCTTGCTGGGGA